TTAATGTCGTCGAGGATCCGATGTAAAGATGGATAAAATGAGAATTCGCGAATTTTTCCACGGCCAAGAAACTAATGGTGGAACGAAACGTGTTACACGTTACAAAGAGGCCGGTCGATAATGTGGATTTGGAAAGAGGTTGGGATGGTCGCAATGCCATTCGAGCGCCGGCACGTACGGTTGGGACCAGGAAAGGTAAGGTTAGTTATAAATACATCCCGTTCAAGAATAGATCCCGGACTTGGTGCAACTGCAAACCGCAAATCGTTCAAAATGCTACCGGATATTCGGACAGTTTGGTGGAAACGGTACGCTCCGACGAAACGAATCATCCGTCGCGGCAACAACACGTAGGGTCGGTGACACACTTTCATCGATTTTCCTAATCGCGAGATGCGTCATCGTCGGTTTCAACGCGTCTCCTTCGAAACGAGTTTTCTCTCGAAACGAGATGGGTGAGATGGGTGAGTAGTATTGTTCTTTTTTTCTTTTTTTTTTTTTTTTCTTCTTATGGGTGAATACTTGAACGGCCGGCGACGCTCGTCAGAAGGTTCGTAAAAAGCTTTTTACGAACCGAAGAATTTTTTCTTTGTGACGGTTACTCGTATCCGAGCGTCCTAGATACCTTTTCCATGCCGGATGCACACGACCGCTATAAATCAAAAATGTTTTTCATTGATTCGTAGTTTATTTTTGAATGGAGAAAAAGAAAGAAAGGAAATAGGGAAATAGGAAGAGAAATAGAAAACAATTAAGATAAAGTTAATCGGATGTCGAAGCTGTTTCTTGAGCGTATAAATTTTGTGGAGCGAGTATGACAAGGAGAGCGAATAGCGCGAGAAGGATAGACGTAGAATAAAAATATGGAAATTAGCGCCATCTCCAGAGTGCCGCAAATGAGACTCGTCGGGCAAGGATAGCGAATGATTAGAGAAGGATAGAGATAGATTAAGAATCGATCGTTATTGCCATCTCTCGATTAGCAAAGGTATCTTTCCAAAAAAGTAAGGTAAATAAGAATCTATTATTGGCGCCATCTCTTGAGCATCGAGAATATTTTTTATCATTTTCAGTTCTACTTTATCTTACGTTTTAATTAATTAATACCGTTATCGTTCCAAAGATGGCGCAAGCAGTCGATCCTTATTCTATATCTATCCTTCTCCCTCTATTCTCTATCCTTGCCTACGTGAGTTTCATTTGCGGCACTCTGAAGATGGCGCTGACTTCTGACATTTTTATCCTATCTTTATCCTTCTCGCGCTATTTGCTCTCTTTGTCATACTTGTTCTTGGTGCGTGACCACACACGATACAAAGTACGGATATGAAACCAATCGAATACATTTTCATACATTATTTCTCTTTCAAAATTCCAGCTTAATCTTAAATATTTAAGGAATTTTAGATATTATAAATATGGATGGATAAGTAGAAGAATAAATCAAATGATCGTTTCTTTTATATTCGATTATAATTATTATTAATATTCTCCAATTGTAATTATTCTAATCTTATACGGTTTTAGATTAATCGAAACGAGAAGATCGTTAATGTATCGTTAATCCTGCTCCAGTGTAATCTAACGTGACGAAAGTATGATCCTTCGCGAAACAACTCGTCGTCATTCAACGCTCATCGAATATTGGAAAATAACGCAATTTCCGTACGATTTTCCACGTGCAATAGTGTCGTGTTTATGCAAGTTAGCAATACGCAATTCAATGAACCGCAATGAAAGCGATATCGTATCTGCTACTGCGACACAAAAATCTATACTTCTCAAATTACACACTTTGCCTATCTATGCGAAAATTGATTCATTCTTCTTCCGATCAATTTGTTTCTTGTCCCATAAATCTGTTCAATTTTCTGCCCCTTTATGCAAATTTTCCTCCATCTTCTCCCATCCCCTTTTTTTCTAAATATTCCTTGAAGATCAATGTTTCAAAGTTAGAAATTTAAGACGCAACAACTTGGCTGATAAAAGCCTGTTAGCCCCTTGTACTATGTTCTAATTAGTCGAAATGAGATAATTGCCTTTGCAGAAGCTAGCCAGCTAACACGAGGAGGAACAGAGATCTTATATCCACTTCTATATCCACTATTTCCTCGTACGACGAACGTTCCTCGCGCGAACGAAGGGTAAATACAAAAAAATTAATCGCTTTTTACGAAATAGCCATCGATCAATAGCCATCGATATCGCGAATTCTTTCGCTCGGATATTCAACATTTTTCAACCTTCGTAACGTAACGGATAATTATATACGTACAATTGCATCCGTACGCGAGCCATAGTGTCGTAAATGCTGAACATTTTTCGAAGGGAAGAATTTTCATAAAATTCCAATTCTTTTTTTTTTTTTTTTTTTTTTTTTTTTATATGCATATCCATCAAAATTTTCCACAATTTTGTTCAATTTAGCGAGCGAATAATAATCTCGATTCGAAGTTTATCGCTGAATTTTCCACGATTTCCATTCCACTTTTTTTCACTTATCATCGCTGACGCGGTTTTTCACTTAGTGCAAAACAACACGGATAATGGGCGTAACGTATCGCGCTGCCTCGAGGAAGATTCGAGACGTGAAAAAAAGAGAGAAAGAAAGAGAGAAACCTCGGTGGCGAAATTATTAACCGCGTACGAAGTATTTAACGAGGCAAAGAGGCGTGGGCGCAATTATGGGCGAGCGAAAAGGATCCGCGTGGATTCGGAAACTGGCCGAGCGTCAAGGAAATTGACCGCGGAATTACTTGGGGCCGATAAATGGCGGGCGCAAAAAAATCTTTCCCCGCATGCGCGTTTAATTATTTTTCACAACATTGTTCTCCTCTTCCTCTTCTTCCTTTTTCTTTTTTTTTTTTTTTTATTCTTTTTTTTTTCTCACCGCGTTTCCAGGAATCGAAAATCGCGTTTCACGACATATGTCACGGAACGTGATTTTTATTTGCACGTTTATTACTTCTCTCGTCCTCGATTCCTCAAACACATTGTTCTCCTTCAAACAACACGTTCTCGAGAGAAAATCCTCCTTTTCCGTTTTCCTCCTTCCTATCCTATTTTTTTTTTCTTTTCTTTTGAAGGACGCACGCGTTTTCGAGGCAGATTTTTAAATTTTGCGCGAAACAATCGTTCGATTAAAATTATTTGGGGATAAAAACGAGATCGATATGCGAAATCGTGGGGGATTTCGTTGGGGATTCAGGATGAAATCGTCGTCGAGTCAAGATACGAGGAAGTTGCGTTGGAGGACTTCGCCTCGAAGGAATCGTTCTTTTTCCTGTTTCCCTCAAGGTTGCCTACCGTCGATAATTTCTTCTCTTCGTTTGTATTCCGGCCGACTTTCTACTTCGCGAGCTGCATTTCGTGTCCTCCGGCGACGCGCCGTTTTTCGCACGTTTCTACACACACACGCATACACACACACGCATACACACACACACACACACGTATCTTGCGTACGCGCAACGTTATTCGTTATTTCGATCATGTAGTAACGTTCAAACTCGACGGACGAGGCCGACACGTGATACCTGTTGTTCCTTCCTTCCTTCCTTCCTTGCCTTTGTTTATGTTTTGAAGTCACGGTAATACGATCCAAAGGGAGACCATCGTACGTAATTTATTGTACAGAAACTTTTATGTGCCTCTAGGCTCGAGAATAATTATGAAGAATATATATTCTTCTTCACTATTGAAATTTTTCTTCGTTCCTCCTTTATCAATTACCATAATTTCGAATTTTATCTTAGGATATATCTTACCACTGGATATACATAAAATAATCCACGAGAGAAACATACGCGATCGGTTGGAAACGAAATTTATTCTGAATCTTCGTTGGAAAGGGAAAAGGTTGGGGAATTAGAATTAACAGTATCGAAACAGTATCTAGGGAGAGGGGGGGACATTAATCGGAGGTCATTCCCGCGAGTAAGTGGGAACTAGGAATTTCATTGGAAGTGGGACTAAAGGAGCGTAAAAGCTTGTTAATTTCCGGTGCTTTGTTCTTCGCGGCTTCGTTTCATTTCCGTTCGAGAAAAAAGAAGAAGAAAAAGAAGAAGAAATCGTATCGGAAAACTGGGAATTGACAAGATTGGAAGAATAATTCCAACGAGTCCTCGAAGGTGTCCATCCTCGAAAAACGACGATTCGTCCAATTCCTCGCGATTCATCTTGCGCGCAAACTACATGTCGCATTCGCCGTCTCTAGGACAACTTCCTCCTCAAAGTTTTATAAATTTACGGAATCCCTTCCACTTCCATTATCTCTCTCTCTCTCTCTCTCTCTCTCTCCTCCGTCCCCACTTGAGGAGGCCGGCTTCCTCCTCCTCCTCCTCCTCCTCCTCCTCCTCCTCTGGGAGGGGAATCTATTTAAAGTGAACTTTGACGAATGACCGATCACAACGTTACCATCCTCCCGTGGCAACAACACCCAGTCGAGAGCCGGATCTGGACCTGATCGAAGCGAGCGAGGACGATCGACGAGACGAGACATCTTCGATATACCTTGAACACTTGTTTTTTTCTTCCTCGTCCACGTAAACGGGACCGCGCTTTCACCGCGACGATGAGGGGAACCATTCTCGTTTTCGTAGCTCTGCTCGTAGTTGTCTGTGCAACCGAAGTTAATCACTGTGGAACCGGTGAGTAGAAAAAAAAAAAAAAAAAAAAGGGAGAAAATTTTTCTTTCCCCTCCACCGGATATTCCTTTCGAATCGATAAATTCCTCGTTGGAATTATTCTCCGTATTCGCACTCGATCGAGTAATTATCACCGCTCGTTTCGAGAACGAGTAATAAAAATCGTGTCGTGGCGGCGATCGTTTTGCCGTTCGCATATTTAAATACGATTCGCGCGCGTGTGTATATGTGTATATGCTGGCGTATGTAATATGTACGTGTTCTCTCGTTTACATTCCGCGGTCAAGTTTTATATTGACTCATCGATCGTATCTTTTTATTTTTGTGTATATACATCGGTCTATTACGTCTATTTTGCATAATATTTTCAGTGGATTATTTACGAATGAGCGAAACTTGAGATAAGAAGATGTGTTTCGTTTTAAAAAAAAGTACGGATAACATCCCCTTATCGTCCAGAAGTGAAAAATGCAAATTGATTTTGTTCGTTCGATGTGTCGTGGATTTTTTCTCTCTCTCTCTCTCTCTCTCCTTCGACGATGATTTCAAAGTTGATCTCGTAGAAGAGAGAATGTACGATCTCTTGTCGATTCTCTTATTTTTCTTTTTTTTTTATTATGCAAAGTACGGTGCCGTAATTAAACGATCGACTGGCTCGTTTTTCGAGAGGAACTCGGTTTTTATCGGCGAGCACAGTTAAAACCAGGTCGAATGGAATCTTTATTAATATATTGGCAACGGTATTTGGATGCTACGAGATATTAAAAATATTAATATATTTCTTTTTTATATCTCTCCTCGATGAGAAAAGGAAAAAAAAGAAATATTCCTGGAAGAAAAAATCCTTCAATGTCTTTCAATTATGTAACTACGAGCAGGAAAGCCTTGGTTTATCTTGTCAAAGAATATTTTTATTCAAATAAATTATACGTAATGATAGTAAAAAAAAAAAAAAAAAAAAGGAAAAAAAATGTAGTAATACGTTTTATTTACTCGTTGCGCACATAATTTTTTGCCCAACGAGATATATATTAAACGAATATATCGCAATGAATATTCAGGCGACGCGAGGCAAATGCACACATTTTCAAACCTTATACACATTTGTAACAAACAACGCATTTGTGAACAACCCGTGTTTAGCGAGGGCGCACCAATATTTTTTTTTCCCCATGGTTAAATTTCTTCATTATTTAATTTGTCGCAATATACGTATCATCGACGTTATAAAAAGCAAAAAATAATAATAATAATAATAATAATAATACACGGAGCAATAATCTCTGAACTGGTGAACGTCATCGTGTTTGAATTCACGTCGTTCGAATATCAATGCGAATTACCGTATCGGCTTTACGACCGAGCGTACGCATTGCGTCACGCATTGCAGACCCACTTTTATAATCAGAAAAAAAAAAAAAAAAAAAAAAAAAAAAAAAAAACACAAAAAAAAAAAAAAAATAATTGATTGCAGGAGAGAAGTTCGAGGATTCGAATCAGGTTAAGATAACCGGCTGCGACGTACCACCGTGCAAATTGAAACGAAGGACGAAGGCGTCGGTCGAGCAAAAGTTCGTGCCGAAACAAGATGTCGAGTCTTTGGTGAACTCCGTGAACGCCGCTGTGCTTGGCGTACCGTTGCCGTTCGTCGGCGTGGATGGGACCAGCGCGTGCGATAACATTTACAATCTGGACGGAACTCCGGCTGGATGCTCGTTAAAGAAAGACGTCGAGTACATCTACAAGCGAGAGTTCCCCGTGCTGCAGATTTATCCCACGGTAAAAAAAACTTTTTTTTCTCGTTCTCTCCGCTTGCTCTTGAATATATTTACTTTTTTTCCCCCCTAAAATGTATTCCTACACATCGAACAGATAAGAATTATCGTGGCAAGTAAACCGATTTTAATAAACGTTATCGCGCACGAGCACACAAGTCTAAGGTTGTTTCGCAATACGTGAAATGAAAGAATGGTTAATTATCTCTTCGATTTATTTTTAATTCTTTCTTTCTTATAATTGTATATATACAGTCCATTTACAAATGGATTGTAATGGAAAAAATCGTAGAGAGAATAAAAATGATGAGAAAGTTTCCTCTTTGTTCTCGATTCACGTTGCTTTTTTTTTTTTTATTTACAGATTTCCATGGTTATTCATTACGCGCTGATGGAAGGAAACAACACGATCGCGTGCTTCGAAGTTCCAGCAAAGATCACCAATTGAGAATGTCCCGTATTTTTGTGGAGAAGAAGCGATGAACGTGTTGTTACCTCGGTATAAGAAAATCTATGTGCAACGCAAGATGGAAGAGAAGCGTTTTCGCATTGGAAAGATACGATCTCCGTGGATAGAACGATTCTCACGTAGTCTTGTCTCAGAGAACGAGCTTAATCAGTATCATATATATAGTGTATGCGAGTAATTGTAATTCGTTAATAAAAGCTTTTGTATTTCTTTCGTCGCGACATCTAGCCGCATCTTGTCCAATTATTTCGAACAATTATTTCTACTTCGCTCCCGATTTTCTATTTTCCATTCCGTTTCTCCCTCGCGTTTTAAAACGTTCAGTTTGTCGGATTAGTTAGTTTTATCGGTTTTCGGAGGAGGATTAACGACCTTGGGAAGAGTCGAGCGTGCGTGCGAGAGAACGGTTGGCGGATCGGAAAGGTTAACGATGAGTTGGTGATTCGACGAGGCGTAGGTAATACAGGAAACTACGAACTTTCCGAGTCGTCAGCTACCGCCACGCACGGCTGAACGGGAAAATTCTTGGATCGGCTCCTCCGATGATACGAACGCAGTCGAAACCTCGCCTTCCGCCATGTAAAAAACAACCTTGAGATCGCCGTGTAAATTCCTTTCTTTTTCGAATACGAGTAAAAAATTTCGCTCGCAAAGAGAGAGAGGATAACGATTTTTCCTCCCTCGACGGAGTGGAAAGAGGGAGGACAGATCGCAGTGACGGACGAATCGATTTTTCCCGCGATAAATTCTTTTTTTTTTTTTTTAACGCAGATTACATCGTGATCTATATAAAAAAAAAAAAAAAAAAAAAAAAAAAAACAGCTTCCCCGTTTCCCGATGCCTCTGCAAATTTGACGAAAAATCGAAACGCAACCGTGATAACGAGTTGTTGGCACACGGTATTTACAACGCGATTTTTCATAAATTCCAATCGCCGCGTAGGATCTGTATTCTCCGCTCGGTTATTTTCCCCGTCGCCTCGTATCTCGTCTCGAATTACAAAAGTAAATTACAACGGATGGGGGTTTGATCGATAACAACTTGGTTAATTATTCAATTACAAGCCGCACGTCGCAATACAGTTCGAAAGGTTTGCTTTTTTTTTCCCCCTCCCCCCGCGATATTTATCGTCGAATAACAATCGATTCGGCTTCTTTCTCCCCCCCGCCTCCCTTCTTTTCCCTTCGTCTCGAATAATCGAGGAGCCGATTTAGGAGCGAGAAAGGCTTGTCATTTTCGAAAATTGCAAAGTTGGCGCTGTATCGCGGCCGATACCCGCTTTCTCCTAAAGATCGAGTAAACGGCGTTGCGTGAAGGGAGCGCTTTAATCTCGAGGCCGAATCTCACGGAACCAAAACGTTTTTTACCCTCGCCCGGTCCCGTCCCGCGCATTATCGCGGGCCTAATGACCGCGTTAATGGCCGACCTCTGCGTGTAATGCCGCTCCCCTCCCCTCCCTCAGAAATGTCGCGATTTCAACGCGAGGGGTTTGACGTTCGTGTTCGGCCGTCCTGTCACGTAACCCGCGCTTCGGTTGACTTTTTTTCGCTCCTTTTTTCCCGAATCCCTTTCCTCCTCCCCTGTATCGAATATTCCTCGAAAAGAGAGAGAGAGAGAGAGAGAGACACGGAAGGAGGGGAAGGACGCGATCGAGATTAAAAATACGCGCGTTGTCCCAACGCGGCCGAAAGTGGTGCGCTCTTATCCGGGAGCGGATTTTATCGTGAAATTTTCACTCGCCCGGTTTTAAATTACGTTGGAACGCGTAATATACGCGACACGGCACGCACGCAGTTTCATACGAAATTCATCGGGGAGCCGGGGAGCCATACTCGGCTGAATAAAAGTGAAACGTGAAATATTTAAGCGCGGAGCGCGCGGGATAGCTTTTGTGATACGGCTGATGCCTCTCCCCCGATACGCAAAGTAGGACCGATTTAATTTCGGAGGAGAAGACGCAAAGAGAGAGAGAGAGAGAGAGAGAGAGAGAGATTGGATCGATAGGATCGAGCTCGGTTATTAATCCTTTGTCCACCGGTTCCTTTGTTGCTGGGGGAGGGGAGGGGAGGGTGCTCGGTGACGAAAAGTCGTTATCGTTTCGAAGATTCGTGAGAGGGGAGGGGGGCGCGTGCCCCGTCGAAAATATGCAACCGTCTATGCAGGCAAGCGTTCGAGTGGCGTGCGCTCCTTTTCACGAGCTTTTAAGATGACCACGATCCGTGACACCAGCGTCTCTCCTTCTCTCTCTCTCTCGCTCTCTCCCTATTTCCCGATCCCTTCCATCCCGTTGACCCCGTGATCTTATCCACCGACTAGCCAGCCTCTCCACCACCGTAAACCACCACTTCGATACCGAACAAAAGGCGCTCGTTGACCCATGGATCGTCGAGTAAGCCTTAAGTGTAATCTTAAACGCGATCGTCGGCCAAACATCTCTACCCTTCACGGATTTATCCCCCCCTCTTCTTTCGAACCTATCCTTACAGTTACATCCCTATCCGAGTATATTTTCTCGATTCGAAGGAAAAACAAGATGTACATGGCTACAGTTTTCAATTACACAGTGGACGTGAAAAATATTTGCACGTAGATCTATCCTCCGATCTCTCCACGTTTTTCCACGTTTCGCGAACAAACGAAACGAAAATTAATATCATACACGTATATACATATATATATATATATATATATATCGTACTCGAAATTAATTATCACGTAAATGATACAATAAATAGAAATACACTTTTCCTGAGAGCAAAGAAAATATCTGCGATTGCTGTTTTCGGAACTCGAAAAAGCCCTTTCCTTTTTACAAATGAGAAAGAACGAAGAGCGAACGATCGGAAATAAAAAGACAAAAAGAAGAAAAAAAGTCGCGATCTTCCGACTCGCTGATCAGATGCGAAGGAAGGGCTCCGTTATCGAGCAGGGCAGAACGCATGTGCGTCGGCATAGGTTTCATGGATCCGCGCATCGGGACGCGCGAAGAAGAATTGTTCCCCCTTTCTCGCGGCCGTGTCCACGAGCAAGCCCCCCTTTCTCGCCCCACCCTCCGGCCTTTCCTCCGACACCTCCACCTCCTCGGGAGGTTTTGCAGGCTGCGCGCCCGCCGCCGCGCCGTTTGCTCGCCTTCTCCGTCAGTGTGCCGTCCGCCGTCGGTCGAGGACCACGTGTGCAGCCGCGTTCGTCCGTGGACCTGCGCCGACTTCCTATCCTTCGCGCGCGCCTTCTCTACACCACCCCTCTCCGCCGCCTCTCCTTCCCCCAAAAATTACCGGCGATTACGCTTCTCTTCCTCCCCACCCTTCCGCCTCTCCCTTCAAACAAGCGTAGCACGGTGCTCCGTCGCACGTGTCGAATTTTCTCTTTCTCTTTTTTACGGGAGATCGAGGCGTTCACTTATATCATATCGAGTTTGACCGCGTGTTCGATCGTTGGAAAGGAGGAACGTTCCTCTACTTGGGAAGGGAAAAGCGCGCGAAAATCGGAGGGGAAAGGATCTGTGCTTGCGAGGCGACGAGGAGAGGAACGTGGAGAAGGAGGATTGGCGAGGAGCAGTTGGCGGAATCTTTCTGCCTAGGATCGATTTCGAAGCCGGTTCGCGGCCATTGACGAGATTGCAGGCCCTGCTTGGACCTATTCCAGAAAGTCTGTGGCGTGCCAAGGTCTCCGCATCTCCCTTTGATCTTTATTTGGAACGATTACAATTCCAATCGGGGATATATATATATATATATATATTTCGTTTCGAGAGATTTCAGGAAAATGGTGGAGAAGAGTCGGTCCTCGATTCTCCATAGGGGAACGTTTCCGCCCCGTCCTTCTTAACCATCCTGCAACGACCTGTGGGATTTCCACCGATCCCTTCCCCCCCTCGATGCGGAAGAGAGAATTCGCGGAGGTTTCGTTGTCAGATGCCTTAAACTTCTCAAGGAATCTTGGGAAGGAAGGGCTGGTTGAGTTTTTTGAAAAAAGCTGGTGATGGTGGGAAAATATACCTTCGCACGGGTGATCGGTGCGGTGAATTTTGCGGCCTTGGATGGATACACACACACATATATATATATATACACACACACCACGGTGATTGCGGGTATCGTGCTCGTTGCAGGTTATCGGCGACAGTGGCGCGCGGTTGGAAGGCCGAAAGTGCGGTAGATTTTCTAACAGCGAGGAGAGGACCAGTACGCGTGTCCAACGCTTTGATGGAGTGAACGGATGAAAGAAGGGGAAGAGACAGAGAGAGAGAGAGAGAGAGAAGGAAGGTTGTTGCGGTGTACGCGGTTGTGGATGCGGTGGGACGGCAAGTTTAATTAGTGTTTAACCGAGAGGAGAGGAAAAACACGAGCGAAGAAACGCTATGGTGCGTCGGTAAACATTTCTCGGAGAAATTGGTCGGGCGCGCGGCCGTCGTATCGCGCGGCGTCA